TTTATTATACAGCATATTAAATTAATCTGTTAATTATCATTATAAAAATTATCATAATAATTATTAGTATAAAATGGCATTTTAAAAAATAATTCTTATAATCTGAAGATATTTTATTTTAAAATACTATATTATTAGACGATAAACTTTAAATGATAACGATACAATGATTCTTAAAAATATATGCAATAATTGTTGTTAATGTTTTACAAATAGTTTATTATTATCATATCGTTTTATTAACTTTTTAAAAATATAACTTTTAAAAAACTTTTATGATCAATGTATAATACGTTAATGATATTTTCTGGAAAAAATTATGTAACCAACTAAATATTAAGCAATATTATTATTACTTATCTTTAGAATATTAGCTAATCGTAATGCAAAACATATAAACATTTTACGTCAATCCATTAAATTGTTTAATTAAGTTTTGAAATTTAATTGCTTATATAATGGCAAACCTAATTTACTTAATAATTATGATTTTATTCAAGTAATTAAGTAAGTTTAGTTTGAATACCGGTAATATTGTCTCATACTGATATATCAAGCTTACATTATATCTTACAATATGTATAGATTAACAAACAAATTCAACCCTACAATGGATTTAAACAATGAATACGATTTAATCAAATTAAATACAGTACTACCTGGCTCATTGACCATTGAGAGGGCGGGTACTCATCTTTACAGCATTGGTCTCTCGCAGTATAAGCCCCCAAATGCCACAACACGTCCACTCATGTATAGCCCAATTGCAGTGACCGTTGGTTTATTAGTGTTACTCATAAAGCAAATCGTATTGATATTACTTCCCGAACAGAGTCTCGAGTTTTACGCAATGGTTGGAGACGTCCCGTACTTTTCGGGCTTAAGACTACAAAACTCTGCAGTCATGTTATGCGGTCTGACAATAGCCCTGTCCTCACAACTTCTCACTTACTATAACCATCGGAATGACATAAAACCCACGTTTTTAACGGTATTCTCGATGCTATCGGGTTTGAAATCACCGGAAAACATTGGACTTCACGACAAACTACTTGTCTATAAATTAATTGCTTTCAGCCGTAGATTAATAACATTTGCAAACTTCATGGTTAAGATTGTAAATATAGTCATTCTTATTTTACCCTTTTCATTTTTCCTGATTAATATGACCAGTAAACAATTTATAATGTATGGCATACCACACCTTCTATTGTTTGTCTGGGTATCCAATAATCTAAACAATATAATTGTCTGGCAATTAATATATTACGTTATTATCGCAAAGTATTTGGCACTACAATTCCAATCAATTAACCAGGACATCATTTTAAATATCGGTAAAAAACGAGTAATAAATGTCAAGAATATAATTCGTATGCTTAATACCGTTTGTCACACTATTCATGAATATAATGTCAATTATTGGTCCAAATTTTTGGCAATCTATTACATCGTAATTGCAATCCTTATTATTGTTGCCCTTTTTGTCGCACTATATATGCATATGATATTGTTTTTAAAAATAATAGCATTACTAATATATTTAGAGTTTATGCTAACCCTGCTCTTTATAATCCACTATTCGGCTATACTGTGCGACCAGGCTCAAGTAGCTTATAAAGTTTTAAATTCATATTTTGCTCATAGCTCGCACCTAAAGCCATATTATCTCAATAAAATTATAAAACTAAAGGTATTTTTATTATTTTAAATTTTATGCAATAATTAAAATTATGCCCCAAAATAGGTACTGGTGTTCATCGAAAGGTTGGGTCAGAATAGGGTTGGCTTTTACTGTTGGCGAGTGTTTCTTATCACCCGTTTCCGTGGTTACGAAGTATTCATAAAAACATATAATTTTAAAATTTTTATTTTAACTTTTTTTTAACTAAATATAATATAATTTAATTGCAGATATTGTCTATGATGGCGCTATTATTCTTAAAAATTATCGAGATTTCAAAATAAATAGTTCAGGGGACTTATTATATAAACGATCCCTTACTTATCCAAACGCTGAATGCCCTATTATAAGCCTTTAACGGTTAAATGAGAGACCTCACAAATATTAAAAACAAAAAATGTGTACAACATATTTTATTTATTTTATATAGATTATCAGTAGATAAAGTTCTTTACATACAGAAATATCATTATTATTTTTACCATAGAAATATACCAGATAAAATATACATTTCTATTTATATTAATGTGTTTGTTTTAAAAATTATTTAAGTAAACTTAATAGTACTTAATAGTAGTAGGACAGTTAGTAGAATTGTAGTAGTTTATAGTTATCTGTAACCGTGAACGTACTAATGAAATTATTGTGATAATATTTGAGCTCATAATTCCTCACTTATAATAACTAAATTAACCTCTGACTCATAGGTCACACCTTAATAATTTTCAATTCAGATGAGAAATCACAAGTTTCCGCATTTCTGGTGAAACGGGAAGTAAAACTAAAAATCATCTTGATAGTTTAATCTTTTTTTGATTGAACTCATCTAAAGTTGGAATGACTGTATATATATATTTTAATTTATGCAAATAACTAATGTTGTTGTTTTATTTTATTTTCTAATTTGTAAAATATTATTTCAATTTTTTATTTGTATTCTTCAAATAAACCATATTATTAAATACAATTATTATCATTTCGCTTTCGATATACAGTATTGTAATTTATTATATTATTACAATTTTATTACAAATATATTACAAGTGATGATAACAAAAGAACAAAAATAAAATAATTAATATTGCTACAAAACAATAACATAAGTATTATGATCAAAATCCAATTATTATTCATTAGTATCATTATTTTTTATTTGTAAGAATTTAGGCATCAATTCACACATTTCATTATATTTATCTCAGATATGGTGTATTTATTTCAATTGTTTTGAGTATTGTTCAAGTATATTCAAGTGCAATTCTGTATACGATAATGTAATGATCTGATTATGATTACTTATTTTCTACTAAATTGTAAAACAATACTCTAATAATTGATCATCGGTTGGATTGGTAGGCATCACTTCAGGAAAGGTATACAGATTGTCTATTTTAAAAATTATTTGATTATATAATTTTATTTTACTTTAGTTAGTAGTTAATATAACAACATACAAGTAAGCATCAATTCTATACAGTAATATTATATTGTTAAAATGTTTTTGACATTTTAAAACTTATACCATTATTATGAATGACATTGTTTTCATAAAATATTTCACTAAATATTAGCGTTTAATACAGTAATATAATATGCACAATTATAATTTTCAATGGCAATGTTTATTATACAGCATATTAAATTAATCTGTTAATTATCATTATAAAAATTATCATAATAATTAT